GACGCTATTGAGGAAGGGGAAGGTGGGTCGAGCCATAACGATAATGTTAAACCGGAGAACAAATCGAAAGTCGAAAAGGGAGAGGAAAAATCCAATGGGGAAGAAGAGAAAGCAACAAAGATGAGAGCCAACAGGCCACCTCCATTGGAGCTGCTTGATCGTGTGAAATTGAACACGACAGTAGAGACTCCAAGATCAACAATTAAAGGGCTTTTGAACTTTCCCAAGAACTCTGAACTTCAATTTAACAAAGAAAATCTTAACAAAATTGAGAATCAACTCAGGAAGGCTTTTGTTGTGTTCTATCACAAGCTTAGACTGCTGAAGAGCTTCAGGTGACTAATTGGATGCATTTTTTGGTGTTATTTTTGTTAATTTTGTGGGCTAATTCTGGTTTGATATGAACAGTTTCTTGAATACTTTGGCATTTTCGAAGATAATGAAGAAATATGATAAGGTAATGATTGTGTTTTTTGAAGAGATTGAGGTTAAAAGGGTATGGTTTTTGAGGTAAGATTGTTTGAAAATGGTGGATGCAGATTACTTCAAGAGATGCTGGAAAGGCATACATGAAGATGGTGGACAGCTCTTACCTCGGGAGTTCTGATGAGGTTAGGATTGTTTATTATTATTTATACACTACATACCATAAACAATTATGACTCAATTTTGAGATCTCACATCGGTTTTGAGATCTCACATCGGTTGTGGAAACATTTCTTATAAGGGTGTGGAAACCTCTCTCCGACAGACGTTTTAAAATCACTGACATCGATACATAACGAGCCAAAACGGACAATATCTACTAGTAGTAGGTTCGTACTGTTATAAATGGTATTAGAGCCAAATCATTGAGTAATATGCCAGTGAGAACAAGCCAAAGCGGACAATATCTACTAGTAGTAGGTTCGTACTGTTATAAATGGTATTAGAGCCAAATCACTAAGCAATATGCCAGTGAGAACATTTGTGCATTTTAAAATCGACGTAATGAGCTAAAACGGACAATATCTGCTAGTAGTAAGTTCAGGCTATTATAAATGGTATCAGAGCCAAGTCACCGAGCAGTGTGCCAGTGAGGATACGGTTGCAGATTGGAAACATTATTTATAAAGATGTGGAAACCTCTCCTTTGTATACGCATTTTAAAATCGTGAGGTTGACAACAATAGATAATGTAACGGATCAAAATGAACAATATCTACTAACAATGAAGTTGAGTTGTTATATAAATAATCGAAAAATAATGAACATGCTTTCTTAACATTAATGGCATTGAATAATCAGGTTTCGAAGTTAATGGAGAGGGTGGAAGCAGCTTTTATCAAACACTTCTGCAATGCTAATCGAACCAAAGGAATGAATATCTTGAGACCCAAAGCAAAGAAAGAAAGGCATAGAACAACATTTTCAGTTGGTAAACAGCCATTCTTGACACATTTGCAGGACTCTTCATTCATGTTTTGAACTTTGGCTGATCAATTTTAGAACAAAATTTTCAGGTTTCTTTGCTGGCTGCACCATAGCTCTTATCGTCGCCCTCATTTTCATTACACGAGCACGGCATATAATCGACCGAGAAGGCCACTCCCAGTATATGGATACCATGTTTCCTCTTTACAGGTAACTTAAAACAGAGAAACAGAACCATTACAAATCAAATCAACTCAACTCAACTCAACTCATTCTTCTGCTTGTTTAATGCACAGCTTGTTTGGATTCGTTGTCTTGCACCTGTTAATGTATGCAGCAAACGTATACTTTTGGAGGAGATACCAAGTGAATTATTCATTCATCTTTGGTTTCAAACAAGGCACTGAGTTGGCGTACCGTGACGTTTTGCTTCCCAGTTTTGCCGTGGCGACTCTTGCTTTAGCCTGTGTTCTTTCCAATCTTGACATGGAGATGGACCCTGAAACCAAGCCATATCAAGCAGTGACTGAACTTCTACCTTTAGTTTTGCTCCTTGTAAGATTATTCCCACATAAACCAACTCATCTGGCCATAAACCCAATAATTTGTAGCTAAAAGTCTAGCATTTTACCCTGCTTGCAGGCTGTGGTTGCAGTATTCTTGTGTCCATTCAACATCCTATATCGCTCGAGTCGCTTCTTCTGCTTAAAAACTCTGTACCGCTGCATATGTGCTCCCCTCTACATGGTAAGAAAGATGGGAATAGTCTTTTCAAGTTAGAAAATATAGCAAAACAATTGCAAGGATAGAGATTTGACCTTTCGAATTCGCTCTAATTTTGGATACTTTTCTTCCTCTGCAGGTCGTCTTCGCTGATTTTTTCTTGGCAGATCAGTTCACGAGCCAGGTTAGTAACACAAAAGGTTCTTCAGTTCAAGAAATTACCTGCATAGTACATCCTCAAACAATTACTTCGAATCGATTCAGGTGCAAGCACTTCGTAGCTTGGAATTCTACATTTGCCATTACGGTTGGGGAGATTACAAACACCGACAAAACACTTGTAGAGAGAATACTGTATTCAACACGTTCAGTTTCATCATTGCTGTTATTCCATATTGGTCACGTCTTCTTCAGGTTTGAATCTCGTCATCGAACTTTTCAGCTCCATCTAAGTAAGACAGGTGAAAGTTATAACACTAACAAAATTTTTGTTGGTTTCGTACTTGCAGTGTCTCAGGCGACTGTATGAGGAGAAAGATGTAATGCAGGGATACAATGGACTGAAGTACTTCTTGACCATTGTAGCTGTTTGCTTGAGGACAGCTTACAATCTGAACAAGGGAGTATTAACTTGGAAAGTTCTAGCCGCAGTTTTCTCGGCTGTGGCTGCCATTATATGCACGTATTGGGACATCGTAATGGACTGGGGCCTCCTGCAGCGGAATTCCAAGAACCGCTGGTTGCGAGACAAGCTACTTGTTGGTCACAACAGTGTGTACTTTGTGGCAATGGTGAGTTTCTCATAGGGTTTCACTCCTAAAAACAAGTAAGGGTCAATACTCAGGACACTTTTTCTAGTAATCTAAACAAGCTGTGGATATCAAATGCAGGGCTTGAATGTTTTGCTGCGGTTTGCTTGGCTGCAAACCGTGTTGGATTTCCAGTTCTCCTTCCTGCACACACAAGGTTTGATTACAATAGTTGCCAGCCTCGAGATCATTCGCCGTGGCATATGGAATTTCTTCAGGTACGACTACGACAATTCTGTTCTTTTAGGTTCTTTCCTCGAACTGCCTGCAAAAACCATACAGTTTCCCCAAATGGTTTGTTGACTGATCTATTGACCTTTTTGGATTAGGCTGGAGAATGAGCATCTGAACAATGTTGGGAAGTACCGTGCATTTAAATCTGTACCGCTGCCTTTCAACTATGATGAAGATGATGACAAAGATGATTAAAATTTTCCGGACAACATTCTTTCAACATATGCAGTTCAAATGTTTCTAAATGTTCAACAATTTTTTTACAGTATATATCAAATACACATCATTGCAATATCATCTCGACTCTACTTTTCTCATGATTCCTCTATCCGAGTGGAATTGGTTTAAAGAAACGAACAATCAAAGGGTGAATGTTCTCATGCACTTCCCTCTGCTTAGCTGATACGAAAAATAGTTTGGACGAAAACAAACAAAACTAAGTTCTACTCTAAGGATATCCTTCGCACTTCCCAGCCGCCTTTGTGCTTAAACATAATGAACAATATGCACCCCATCTTGTTCTTTCACCTCGAACGACCTCAAGAATGGTGTTTACCGTCTATACTACTACTAGAAAGACACTCTGGCAGACACTGCTATTTATTCTAGTAGGAAGATGGAGAAAATGCAAATGCAATTACACTATTGTACATGAGAAAGGTTAAGTTTCAGAAACTGGAAATTGCAATAAAGAGATATGCGAAGCCTAAAGAGTGATCAGCCTTACATTAATAGAGGTCATGTGATCAGCTCAGCAATACCAAGTTTATGCACGGCGCCATAGAATATGTAGATACTAGCGGGATCTGGGCTCTGCAGCTGAAATGAAAACCAAGTCTTGTTACGCACACAAACACATGCGTGAGTTCGACGGCCTTAGTTCACCATCCATCTCAAAACATCCTTAAAGTTAGCATAAGATGGACCTGAAGAGTAATGCACTTGCACTTAGCTTCAGTGTACATCTGAAATGTAATATTGGATTGAAATGCATCAAAGCAAACTCCAATTATGACACACTTCCGCATTCGTGGGGTGGCTGTATTGATCCATCTCATTTATATCAACCTCGTATATCTAAAGAATTAACACGAGAGTATTCCAGCGTAGATATCTTTTCTGAACGATCAGGAAAGTCCCCAATCCTATAACTGTCAATTGGCAGCATTTACACAACAAATAGTACTGGTTCTACTTGAATTAAACATAATTCTTCTTGATATACTTCACAGTAACGACGTAATTGACAAAAGATCATACTATGTAACTAAATATACAAGGTTCAAATCCCAAAACTCCAGTTACCCTTAAAGGTGGAAAAAGAAGGGAAGTTCTTGTTCAAGCTTTCCCTGATTTTATGTTATGTAATGCTTACTTATAAGGTTCAAATACTTTGCCATCACTGCATTGGAATGATCCTTAATTTTCCTTCAGTCACAGTTTTGATGGCAAGGAGGGTAACTTGGTCATTCCTGTTGAATAATCACAAACTCTAACCAACATGAAGAACGATCAGAAGGATCCTATAATGAATCATACACCACACTGTTATAGCAGCCTATTTTCTCTCGACACAAACTTCTAATCATTCACTCCAGGGAGAGCGAACGAGCCAACAGTAACATCCTGACTCCTTTCAGATGGGACGCATCTCTCACCTCTTTCCTAGAAAGTGGAAGGCGACAAACAAATAGAAAGAACATGAGTAAAACTTATAACTAAGATATAGTTATAATTCTAAATCACAAAGCATCGTTGGATTTCAAACAGGCGCCTTTTCAACAGTCCACAAGCTTAATTTCCATGCCACAAACAAGAAACCAACAAAGGATCAAATTAATTCTCCACAAAGCCCAGATGAAAAGTTAAACCACACAAATTTCACAAAACAAACTAGAAAGTTTCACGTATTATAGTTCATAAATGGAGCTCTTATTAAGAGAATACATAGTTCATATATGAAGTAACGGGTACAGATTTTTGCCAATGTTTCCAACTATAGTTGGAAGGGGGAATTCAGATGATTCTTGGAAAAATGATATTAGGCGTAATCACCTGAACAATTATTCAGAAATTTGAATTCAATGATAAGTGGTGTAAGGTAAGACCTCTCCTTTTCTATGATAATTTGAAGATCCATTTTCAGTGCACTAAGACAAAAGATCGACAAGAAACTAAATACTCTAAAAAAGTAAGGGTTTATGCCTCAGGAATTAGATCAAACGAGCATCGACGAACTTCACTTACTACCGGCAGAGGCCTTCTGTTCTTCCGAATTGTTAGAACCCTCATTTACCTCGAGGACATTGGAATTTGCATCCGGAGTCATTTCCTTCTCCAATTCCATAATCGCTTCCTCCTCCGCCATCTTCTCCGCCTTCAGAATCGGCTCGTAATAATCCGCATGAGCCTCCATACACTTCTTCAGAGCTCCAGTCACTTCGAAGCACTTCTCAACAATATCCTCCTTGTTCTTCTCCGCCTCCTCAATGCATTTCTCCCACTCTACGAAGCTATCTTTGCAACCGCCCCCTTTCATAAACAAGCAAAACCCACACTCCCCCTCCTCTTCCTCTTCAGGATCTTCCCCTCCACTTTCAGGGATCTTTCCTGATTGATCTGGTTCCCCGGAAGATTTTTCCTCGGGAGGAATTGGGGATCCCGATTGTTGTTCATCCTCCAGGGTTTTAGTGGCGGCAGCGTTTGATTCTGCGTCTTGGAGTTTCGAATTCGAAGTGGACATCCTAGTCGGTGCCGGAGGAATCGTTGGATTCACAGCTAGCTGTGTTACTGTCGCTTCGATCTTCCACCGCCGGCTTAAACCCCAAAAACCCTCCGATTACAGGACTTCTTTACTTTCTCTTCCTTGTGGCTGAAGTTAAAACGGTCAAAGGATGAGCGCTGACTATAAATTTAGTTGAGAAAATAGGAACACCTACAATTTCAATCCTCTAAACGTACTTTGATCCTAAAATGATTCCAAAATAGACATAGCTTGAATTAAATAAATTAATTTTAACAAAATAATAGCAGATCAAAGCAAAGTTACTTTATGCCAAATTTAGAAATTGTATTAAGCAAAATAATAATAATAATAATAATAAATAAATAAATAAATTGAATAGGTTGGAAACTAACTTTATTATATTAATTCAACTATAAAAAATTTGAGATCATTTATTTAAATTTTTATTAAAAAGCATCAAATATTGAATTAAGTTTTACATTTTCATTTTAATAAATATATATATATACACTTTTCAAAATACTTTCAATCATCCACTATATTATTTTAAAAATTACATTCCAAGTTGAAGAATTTTTCAATCTTGAGTCCAGTCCACGATTGTGATTCCCAAAACACTACGAGAAGGAAAGTAGTGAGACAAAAAGAGGAGCCCGACACAATCATACGAAGTCACAATTCACCCAACAATCCTAAAAGTTGGAGCAACAAGTAATGGATTGAGTGCGCGAGGGAAAGAAGAAAGAATGGGCATCCCAAGCCAAAATATTACAAGTACCACCTCATCCTAGACCGTTGCAAGAAAAAATGAGAGAGAGCGAACTAAACGAAGCGAACATGGAATTTGAAGAGATAAGAAAAGAGACCATCCCGAGCTACTAACAAGCCAACTAATCTATTATTAAGAGTGGTTGAAAAATAAATAAAAAAAAATAAAGTTATAAAACTAGTGGTATCATAACCAAAAAAAAAAATACAATAATTTTAAATTAGTTCGATCTAACTCGATCACTCCCGCTATTAATTTTCATCCATTTGAATCTCGACCATTAATATTGAAAAAAATAATATTACGAGAACTTTTAAAGAACATATAACTCTCCAACCTCAATTCTCTTTCAATCATCCTTGTCATTTTCATCGTCGGAGTAGCTGAATGGAAGTGGAACAGACTTGAATGAGCGATACTTGTTAACGTTGTTCAGATGCTCGTTCTCCAAACTGATCACAAAATTCAATGTCGGCTTAAAAATCAAGCCAAGAGATACTGTGCTGCTCTGCTCTGCATTAGAATGTTACCTGAAGAAGTTCCAAAGGCCACGGCGAACGATTTCCAAGCACGATATCGACGTAACCGCAGCAAGTTTTTGAAACGATCGCAAGTTGAATGCTAACACCAGCTGAATCCAAGCAACTCTCAACACTACATTTACTATCTGTTCAAAACATAATTGGATCAGTAGTGGGGAAAATGAATAAATGATCGGTTAAAGCAGAGCAGCAGCTAGCAGGTAGCATTACAATGGCTGCAAAATAGACGCGCTTGTTGGAAACTAATAGCCGGTCTCTCAAGTACTTGTTCTTTGAGTGTTTTCGCAGAAGTCCCCAGTCAACAACGATGTCCCAGTATGTATTGATCAACATGGAAACCGCAGAACTAATCAAAGCTAGCACCATCCAGCTAACTCCCTTTCTTAACTCACAAGCAGTTCTAATCAGGACTGCAACGATTGTTGAGAGGTATTTCAGAGCGTTGTAGCCATGCATTGCTTCTTTTTCTTCGAGCAATCGACGAACACACTGCATAACCATTAATATATGCATGAACATGATGAACATGAGGAACTCCTGATTTAGGATATAAGATGTTTAATCTCTTTGTCATATCAAAATCTAGAGAGAACCATTTGCAACTTAGCATGAATCTATTCTGAGAAGTAGTTTATGAATCACAGTTCACAACAGTAATCAGAAACATTGTCTAAGTCCTTTTCTGACTTTAAAAAGAACAAAGTAGACCGGGAAGGTCGGATGATATAAGAAAAATCACCCCTGAATCATGGAAGGGCGATGAGCGAGAGGTATGAAACAGACAGACGTTCACTAGAAGCTGGGTGCGGGAAGCCCATGTAACAGCCCAAGACCACTGCCAGCAGATATTGTCCTCTTTAGGCTTTCCCTTTCGGGCTTCCCCTCATGATTTTTAAAACGCGTCTGCTAGGAGGAGTTTTCCACGTTTCCACACCCTTATAAAGAATACTTCGTTCTCCTCCCCAACCGATGTGGGATCTCACAGCCCATGTAGCAGTATTCAATAAAAAAAGCATTTTTGAAGTCAGGCTTTCGTATCCTCAGGAATGAAACTAGTGCCCGGGGAGGGACGTAATGAAATGGCATACACTAGCCAACTTAATTTTTTCACTAGCTTTGACAAAAGCATCAGCGGTGAAAAGACTAAAATTGGTTCATACCTGTAAGAATCGCAGCCAAAATGGTATGACAGCGATAACGAAGGAGAGCGTATTGTAGACGCCATGCGTGTGGCACTTGTTTTGCTTCCTAGAGTGTTCTCCTAAACCGTAGTAGCAAATATACAGCACTATACATCTTGAAGCTTGCACCTAAAATCATTCGCAGCACAGCCCTCAACAACTAAGTTAACTTTCATTTTCCATCATACTAAGAAGTTTAAATGTAGAACCTGACTAGTAAGCTGATCCGCCAAGAAATAATCTGGAAACTTAACCTGCAAGAAAAAACAAAAACCCAGTGAATCGGATCCATTTTCGTTCTTGGTTTAGCTCGGGCTCCTCTCAATCTCTCATTTACTCATCTTACTTTATTACCTTGCACAGAGGAGCGGATATACAACGTAGAAAACACCGTATAAAGGAAAAACGAATCGACTTGTATAGAATGTTGAACGGGCAAAAGGCGATGAGAAGAACAACCTACACAAAAGACGAACTTACTGAGAGAGAATGTTGTATAAAGAGGAACTCTGCACAGTGTTTGAGTGATCTTACAGCTGCTGTGCCTAAAGGAACCTTCTCAGCTTCTGTTCGATACTTCCGAGTACTGGGGTCTCGGTCCACGTATAAACTAGCCAGGAAGCTGGCCGATGCTAATACTGCGAGACCAGCACCGAGCAGGAAAACTTGTTGACAACCGAATTTAGTTCCTCTCTTGGAACCAAAGATAAATGGATAGTTAACTCCACAACATCTCCAGAAGTGCAAGTCTGCTGCATACATGAGCACATGTAGGACAATGAAGCCAAATAGACTGCAACATGAATCACTACTATCTCAGAGAAGACTTCTGGTGAAGCTAAGTACATGTAGAACTGTAGGGAACTATTCCTACCTGTAGAGTGGAAATATATTTTCCATGTAATGTGTGCCATCTTCCTTCTCCAGCAATCTTTGAGATAAAATTTTCAAGACCGACGCGGCGAGTAGTGCCACCGTGCAACCGAATAGGAAGCCTGAAAATGAGGTGGGGAAATGAATCCAATCAGTCTGGGGAACTTACCAACATGATGTTTGTTGGTGTCTACTTTTGTTTTAAGCAAGAACTTGATAAGGTAAAGGGAATCACCTGAAGAAAATGTCACTATGGGTTTTTCTCTTTTAGTTTTTGGCTTCAAAAGCTTTATTCCTTCTTTGTAATTTGAGTTTGAGAAGTTCTTGATGAAGGTAATTTCCACCATCTTCATGAGATCGGCAACCTAGTTAAGAAAAGAAATCAGCATCTACAGGCAAATAATACAATAATGTAGATGGCCGTGTCAAGTATTCACATTTTTATCAAATTTTATGTAACAGCCCAAGTCCACCGCTAACAGATATTGTCATATTTGAACTTTTCCTTACAGGCTTCCCCTCAAAGTTTTAAGAAAAGGTTTTCACACCCTTATAAGAAATGTTTCGTTCCCCTCTCCAACCGATGTGGAATCTCATAATTCACCCCCCTTGGGGGCACACCACTCGGTACCCGGCTCTAATACCATTTGTAACAGTCCAAGTCCATCGCTAGCAAATATTGTCCTATTTAGGCTTTCCCTTTCAGGCTTCTCCTCAAAGTTTTAAAACGTGTTTGCTAGAGAGAGGTTTCCACACTCTTATAAGGAATGTTTCGTTCTCCTCTCCAACCATTGTGGGATCTCACAATCCACCCTTTGGGGAGTCTAGTGTCATCGCTGGCACACCGCTCGGTACCTAGCTCTGGTACCATTTGTAACCGCCCAAGTCCACCGTTAGCAAATATTGTTCTATTTGGGCTTTCCCTTTTGGGCTCCCCTCAAAGTTTAAAAACTTGTATTCTAGGCAGAAGTTTCCACACCCTTAAGGAAATGTTTCATTCTCCTCTCCAACCAATGTGGGATCTCACAATCTACCTATCTTAGGAACCCAAAATCATCATTGGCACACCGAGCAGTCTTATGATATGAGAAACCTGAATCTCTAGGTGAGAACTCAAAGATTTATGATCATACCTCATCAGAAGTTCCTAGATACGAATTGTCCACAATTTCCATGTATGACCTCCCTGCTGCACTTGATGAAATCTGCACCCAATACAGGCAGGAAAGTATCAACACATACAGATCATATAAACATCTAGAACTTATGAAATATTGCTCCATTCTATAGAATATAATCCAGGAATCAAACTAAATATATTGCTATTGATTCAATGCCAGACCTTCTCATACTTTCTCAAGATTCTCGCAAATGCTGACAGGTTCATAAAACTGGTTCATTCCATTTCAAAAGTATAAAAACATGTTAATTCAGTGGTTGAATATCATAAATAACAGCATATAATCTTCTTTGTATATACCTGAATTGCTTTAACGAATAAAGCTCCTGGTAAAACTCAGCAAATGCTTTTTTCAACTGTTCTTCAATCTTGCTTCGATCATCATTATCAGTACCCGAATCATCGAGGACTTTCACATGCTTGAGAATTTCTTGGGAATTTTGGCTGTTTTCCTTTGTTATTTCTTCTAAATGTTTGCTGCTACTTACTTCTTTGTGAGCTTGATCGAGTTGTGGAATGCAAATAGACTCTTTTTGAATCTTCCTACGCAACGCAATCAAAGTCTCCATTTGTTTCGTTAGAACACTTGCTTCGTTGGTCACAGCCTCTACACTTTCCTTGTAAAAGGAATTTAACTTGTTGAGTTCTTCATCAAGTTTCTTAAAAAATTTCACCTCTATCTCTGATATCTCTTGGGACTTCCTGAAATCATGTTGCTGTGATTTCTCAATATCTTGGTTTTGGTTCTCAATATCTTTCCCGACATGGGATTTTCTTGGTTGAGAGATGAACTCACTGCATTTTCTGTCTACTGCTGGCTTCTTCTTTGAGTACCCAGATGATGCCCTAGATTTCTGAATCTGTTTCTCGTAGGAAATCTCGAGTAATAATCGTTTGAGGCCATTGTAATCCAGATACGCGTCCGCCCATTCCAGCACCATTTGTTTCTTGAATTCGTTCTTGAACTTCATCCTTTGTGTTCGTTAAAATGTCAGTCATGCTATACTGATGATTGACATCGTAAAGATAACACAAGAACGTGAAAATCGACTTACCTTTGCTCTGTTTTTTTCCTTTCCCTGTTTCGATCTCAAAGCCTCCTCCTGAACCGCTAAGCCGTCTAGCGTCGCCCAAAAATCGGATTCTTACAAGAGTGCGATTGCCGATGAGGCCATCCAATCGGGTAAGCAACATTATCCGATTCCTGACAGAGTTTGAGCTCATTGGGTGAGTGACACACCCACAAATCGGTGGTATGTCGGCCATGCGGCAGCTCATGCTTGAGTGACAGTGTTGGAGACGATGCATCGTCACCATGGTAATCACACGCGTCCGGATTTGGGACGGAGTAAAGTACTTTATGGGAAAGAAATGGATATGGGAGATAACTACTTCGTGATCCCTTGCCAATTTATTACGAGACTCTGCGTGGGAAATCTGCGTGGCCTTATAATCATGAATTTACTATTTTTTTAATGATTAATTCTGTTGGTACTTTTAAAAATATATAATTTATGGTGACGGCTTCATATTCCAATTCTATAATTCGCAAATTTAGTAAAATTTTCAAAATCTAAATCCAATTTAATTTTATCTCCTGGGTGTGAAATCTTATATCCAATAAACACACTTTAAAATAGAATAAACACATTTTAAAATAGAGAGGCTAGGCCAAAACGAATAATATCTTATAAAGATGTGGAAACTCTCTCCTCAATAAACGTACTTTAAAACCATGAGGTTAAGGACGATGCAGGTCAAAACGAACAATATCTACTAGTGATAAGCTTGAACAGTTACAAATGGTATAAAAACCCGACATTAGACGATGTGCTATTGATAGGCTTGAAATGTTACAAATGGTACAGAGCTCAAAGTTGGACGATGTGCCAGCGAAGATGCCGGGCCCCTAAAAAGAATGAATTGTGAGATACTACATCAATTGGAATTATTATAAATGGTATGAGAAGTAAACACCAGGCAGTGTGCCAACAAGAACATTACTCATATACAACTTTGTCATAGCATACCTCAACAAATGCACGATCAAGTCTTTGAGGCAGAACAACAAATTCAACAAGAATCTTAAAAGATTTTAATTTATACCCATTGCAAATTTTTTTAAATCATCTATGGAAGACGAAGAACAAAGGCTAAAAGAGTCGCATTTCAGACATGGTAGAACTGAAGTTTGCTGGTTAAGTACAGAGCAAGGATGTGTTCAAAAGCTAATCAATGGTGTATGTTAAATCTTACAATCTGCGTCCTTTTGGAAGGGAAGTAGAGAAGCAAAATTTAAAGAACCTAATGAAGAAGAATACTCGAAAAGGAAACTATGGCCCCCTTTGTAGATTATTTGGGGATTTATGCGTTCACAGTCCGTCCTTTTTACCCTGCATTGGCTCATCTGGCTGAGTTATCCTGCTCCCCTGTTCTTCCACTGCAACAATAGAAGTGAGGAAGCTTGACCTTGCCACAACTCCTGCAATAACAACACAGTCAACCCCATGAACATTCTTGAAAACTATGGCCATTTTACATAATCACAAATACTATGTGCTGATTTTATCAAAATATCAGATTTTGTACCAGTCATATGAACCAAAAATCCAAAGAGAAGAATATCTGCTAATGGTGTGGAAACCTCTCCCTAGTAGACGCGTTTTAAAAACCTTGAGGAGAAGCCCGAAAGAAAAAATCCAAAGAGAAGAATATCTGCTAATGGTGGACTTGGGCTGTTATAAACGATATCAAGGTCAGACACTAGGTGGTGTGCGAGGACGCTAAGCCCCAAAGGGGGTGGATTGTGAGATCTCACATGTGCCAGCAAGAATGTTGGGTCCTGAAAGTGGATTGTGAGATCCCACGTTGGTTGGAGAAGGGAACGAAATATTTTTTTATAAGGGTGAGGAAACCTGGAAAACCCAAAAGGGAAAGTCCAAAGAGGACAATATCTACTAGCAGTAGTCTTGAGCTGTTACACCTTAGATAAATTTCGAAAGAAAAATTAATGGATATGTTTCGGGCCGGTAGAATCAGGAGAGATTTGTTTGATGACAATCAAACATAAGAAATAAATGCAATGCAACCCATCAGCATGTGAAGAAAAATAAAGCAGCTTACACTTCGTTCGTTAGATAAAAACTACAATCCACATTTCTTCGCTTCACTTCAGTGAGGCTAACATGTTAAGGATGTTAATAAATAAATTCTGCTATCAGAAACATTCTTATTTTTACATTTCATTATGTTTCTAAGTAATAATATTCTGGGATTTATTTCAAACAAGATGCCCAGAATGAAGTAAAGAAAAAAATTGACACTCTGGCTAGCTATCACAGTCAATTGGCATTCTAGTCACTATCAGCCATGACACCAGCTGACTCCATTGTTTTCTTTCTTGGAAGACTACAAAGTAAATATAAGTTTTCTCTAACACTTGGCGTCAGCCACTAACAAGAGATAACCAATCGTCTCGGTGAACTGAACTACAGGTCTAACAATTTGTGAGAACTTAACTAGCATACTGAAATACATTTGAAATGAAGCAAAAAATTACAAAATCACAATCAGGTAAGTTCAGGTCATGTGAAAAAACAGCTCCCTAACAATGATGCAATAATGTATGCAATTACTAGATGTTGAGTTTAACAACATATGTGGGGATGAGTAAGCCTCTGACCTCTTGATCGAGAGTATTTGTCTGACCAGTTGAGCTATGATTAGCCGATTGTATGTCATTATTAGATGAACCATGTTTTGATATCAAAATAAACAACATTCAAGCAGAGAAACCTTCCTAAAAGCTGAGATCAATGTTGAAGACTAATTTGTTAAGGCAAGGAAGGGAGAGTCTTACTTGCACCTAATTATAACTGGAATAGGTTTTAGAGCCTTTGGGCCATTTCTTATCCCCCTTTTATGTGGAGAAACCTGCAAAATATAGACATGAACACTTTCTCAAAATTCCCAATAAATCAAAAGAAGAACAAGTTATAGAACAGGAGCTTTCAAAATCTAGCAGAGTCCTAAATGAATGTTTCAAATATACATGAACAGAGTTATGTATTCAGATATCAACATGGAAGAGTCATAAGAATTTAAAGTCCAATAGAAAACATATGATATCAAGCGCATCAACCAAAGAAACATAACAAGAATGAAGGTCTAAACAATATTAAAGACAAATCTGAAATATCCTTGAGGATTGAACATCAAAAGTACAAATGGAAATGCTCCCTAAAATCTTCGGACGCTACAAGTTCATATCTAATACTTTCAATGACATCTTACATATCCCACAACTTCCATGTGAAATTTTAAGTTTAAACTTCTTCCATAAGTAACATATAGATTAAGTTTCTACTCTAAGAATAGGATCTTCTCAGCGTATGATTATTTGAAAATAGGAGGAAATTCAATACCTTCCTCTTAGGAACAGCCATGAGCTCCATCGACCCGGAAAAAGATAAACTAGGGAAACCAAACCCCACAATACTGCAGTTGTTGATCCCGTCCCTATCAGATTCATGGTTAAACTCCGGCAGAACAAGCGGCGGCGCGGAATCCTTATGGTCCATGATCCCAGATATCGGCGAAGAATGGGGTAAAACCTTAGCCATCGCCTTCAACCCAAACATCGAACCCGTCTGACCCTCTACCGCCCTCAAAATCCTCAACGCCATAGCTGCGAGCAAGTGGCAGTGCTGCTTTCAGTATACCGGCGGTGCAAATCGGCCTAAGATGACGACGGGGTTTTAGGAATTTGGAAATGCCACAATACAAATCGACGGCGTCGTTTTAACGAGTCCAGGGCCAATGGGCCGGTAACAGGCTTGGATCCCTAAGCTCGGCCCAAAAGCACGAAAATATAGATTTTTATATTTATTAATTTGAAGCAAAAATAATTGAATAATAAGTTATCATCAATACCAATTTATAGACGTCGGTGTTGATTGATCTGTTGTGCGATCCTACGTTGAGTGGAGAGGGTAACAAAACATTCTTTGTAATAGTGTGGAAACCTCTTTCAAAGTAGACTCGTTTTAAAAACGTGAACCTAAAAAGAAAAATCCAAATATGACAATATATGTAGGCAACCGGTAAGACCAATGTTATGGTCTGATCCAATACTAACTAATGGGTCTGTGCCCAACTAGATCATCGTCTAGTCTAGCCAAGAATGACAACCAAGCATCACCAAAAGTGAGTTCCAGTTTCATTGAACCGTTCTACTTGCAAGTGAAATTGATCATGTTTTAACCAAGCCATATTCTGTTTCGGATGCCTACCAATTTGATCCTTGAGTTTTAACTCATTAGTTTCCAATAAAACTTACAAAATCAAATTCACAAGTCTTTTTTTTATTTATTGATAGCTCAGTTGACATGAAATATTTACTCTCGATCAAGAGTTCAAGTGTTCGAATTCTCAACTTTCTTGATACTTGACAACACAAACTCTTGAGCTATACACACACTTAAGATTGAGTATTCGTAATGCGTCGAGACATCGCTATAGCCGAAAGAGTGATCAAAAGCACCAAAACAAGAACTGCACCGAAAGAGCCGATTAAAGATTGAGAGCTACGTCGACAAAAGGAGTCGAATTGGGAGCAAAACGAAGCCCAATTGACAACAGTGTTGCCCTGATACGCCAAGTAAACCACAGACGCCGCAACCGAAGCGCCAGCGGTCTCAAGAGCCATAGCCATCTTCCATGCACATTTAAATCATTCATAAACAACCACCAAATGCACAACAAATGAGCAAAAATGGAAGAAAAAAGCTACACAAACAAAACATACCGTGTCAAAGATGAGCAAAGTGAGCCTTGGAGTGACTGATGCAACTTTCACCATTTGGAAGATGGATAGAGGTAGCGAAAGAAAGAGATACCCACAAGCTACCGAATTCACAAGCACGAAAAACCTATAACAATTAAAAAGGTGCATCGACAACATAGCTCAACTAGTTAAAATATATTTTTAAACAAGAAATTCGAGGTTCAAAATTACATAAACATAGGGAGATCCTTATAAACGGCTTTGAATTGAGTCGACTGAGTTGAAAAGGGGAGAGTTTGATGGGCAGTGCCCATTACAATTGCACTGCACAGAGTAGCCATGAGTGCTACTACTCTCAGCACTAAGTCCACTATGGTCAGCCCTCTCTGAGCTCCTCCTCCTCCAAATGGGTATCTAATTTTTGAACCCAATGGCACTTCACCCTCTGATTTTGCCTTTGACTGATCCATTTCCATTTTGAAGGTCTTGCAAGTTCTTTCAATGCGTCTGGTTTAAGTACTGTGTGTTTGCAAGTGGGGTTTGCTTAAAGTGATAAACAAAAGTGGGTATTAGGTGAATTTGTGATGTGTTTGAGGATTTCATATGATCTAAGCCATAGTTGATTTGTAATTATGCCATTGGATGTTATGAGCTAGCTTGGCTGTTTTCTTTTTTGAAGTTATTTTACCGGCTCTCGCTTTAGACTCGTGTTTATCTTGATTACTTCATTAAATATTTTTAATCCAACATTATCTCCTCTTTCTCTTTCAGGTTTTTCTTAAAGATTTTTAAAATGTGCCTAGTACGGAGAAGTTTCCACACTTTTATAAAGAAAGTTTCGTCCTCCTCCTCAATCGATGTGAGATCTCACAATTTACCATTTCGGAGTCCAGCATCCTCTCTGGCACACCACCCGGTGTTCACTTCTCTTTGGGGCTCAGCGTTCTTGCTGGTATATCACTCGGTGTCTGAATCTAATACCATTCGTAACAACTCAAGCTCACCACTAGTAGATATTGTCATTTTTGGGCTTTCATTTTCACGTTTCGTCTGAATGTTTTTAAAATGTGGAGAGATTTCCACACCCTTACAAAAAAAAAAAAAAAACTTCGTTTTTCTCCCCCAACCAATGTGGGATCTCATAATAACGATGGATGATAGTGTAAGGAATAAAACGAGTTGAATTTGAGGGTAATTTTAGAATAAACGTTGTTTAGGAGATACTTTAGAGTGTGAGTTTGATTCAAGGTAAAGTCGTAATTGTATTAGAGAGGAAATGCCAAGCTGGAGAAACCAACAAGTTTAGTTAGGTCAGAATGTTTCTAAGGCTACTCGAAACGCTCTTTTAGTAAAAGTACTAAAATTGTGAGAATAGTAACTAGTAATATATTTATTCATTTAAAATTATTTCGGTCACCTCAAGTGTAATAATGGATGGTCGTGTAAGAAATAAAGCTGAGTGAATTTAAGGGTATTTTTGGAATAAGCATTGTTTAGGAGATATTTAAAGTAAAGTCCTACTCGTATTTGAGAGCAGTTGCCAAACTCGAGAAACCAAAAAGATTAAATAGTTCGGTCAGCAATTTCTCTAAGGTTCGGCTTCTTGAACTACAAATACGATTTGGACCTATTGAACTACAAATACGATTTTTATAAAATTGTTAGAATAATATTTAGTAACATATTTATTTAATGTTTAGTTTTGAAGTACTTTTGAGTAAAAATATATATATATATATATTTATCTCGCATAAAATATATATTTTTTAATATTTTAGACGTTTTAAAAAGACAAGTTTACTTGGGCCCAAAATGGAAAAGCCCAATAATCACAATGGACGAGCAGCCCAGATTGTGCGGCCCACGAACGCCATCACCAACCACGCGCTCTGATCTCATGTAATTCGCGTAAATTCTAGGCTTTGTTTGGTTGGTAAACGCGAACACTGTTAAATAAGACACTGGATTTAGGCAGAGGAAAGGAACAATCAGTATACACCGGATTTGCTTCTGATCCGTCCTCGGATCCTCCGCCTCTAATTTATTCATCAGTTCCGATTGCGATCTTAGCCTCCGGTAATGTAAGTTATTCATCTAAACCTTCTTCGGATTTTGGATTATGAGATCGAACAACGATGGTCAATTAAATGACTGATAATCCAATTTCGTTGTTATCAGATTGTTATTGTTTTGGCACTGTCCATTCATTTCCTTAAGTCTGTGGAAGTTCGTTTGTAATTTAAATATCATGATTGCTTCTTGCAGGTGAAGTTCATATTGGTTTAGATTTAGCTCCATTAATGAATCGGATTAGTTCTGTTTGGACATGGGAGCAATGATATTGGGGTGAAGGTTTTGAATTCGAATTTCTTTTTTGTGGGTTGATTAAATACGTGATTTAATTTGCTACGCACGATTCTGGAAAATGTAAATTTGCTTAGGGTGATTGTGGAAACTGTACGATTGACAGAGCATCATAACTCATAAGATTTATTCCAAATTCCAATTTGAGGTATTGTTTTTTTTCGGTCAATAATGGTACGAAAGAGGCTCTCTTTGTCGTTTTCTCCTACGTTTCGTGTTTGGTTGAAATAATTGACTTGTCATACTTCTCTATAAAATCTGGCATTTGGACCAATTACATCATTTCAGCTTCTGGTAAGTATATCATTTGAATTGATTTGGACCCGGATGTGTAATCATCTTGATGTGATTTGGTTAAATTTTCTAGAAATGGTAGCATTTTCGTGCGAAATGTTCTCTGTCAAAGGGCGCTTTACTTTTGGTTGTGATTATGGAATTTGAACTGGGTTTTTAGTCCGTGATTGTAGGTAAGTGATTTTTGAGCCACCCTTTTGACTTATTTTATCACTTGCAGTTATATACCGTTCACCTTCGCCCATAGTTTTTGTAACGAAGGGGAACATGTCAGAAAAAAATATCGAGGAAGTTAAGGAGAAAGCCATTGCTGATAATCTCCCTCAAAATCAAGATCATTGTGAGAAGTTCGAGGAAGAAATACCCGGCCCAGATAAGAAAGAAGAAAATCCTATGCCTTCACAGCAGCAAGAGGTTAGTGCTGCTTCTGTATTTATGGAGTGGTTCTCTTGTGTGTCTGTCATTGGAGAATTTTGAAATTATCGATGTTTGAAATGTAATGTTTGCTATTTCCAGTTTTCTCAATGTCATCAAGGTCCCCTTAGATGGATTTTTTTAATGAAAATACTAAATTAAGAAATCTCTAATTTTTTATGCAAAGTTTTTGATTTTGTAAGCGACTTTTTCTTGCCTTTGCATAAAGCTGGGCCATAAAGGGGAAAAGCTAAATAAAAATGCCTTGATGAGGCAGGAGAAAAAATGTTTCTTTCCCTGTCTCGTTCCTATTTTCTACTGTATGTTGGTCATGTGGTGTCATCAAGGTTTGTCATAATTTGTTTGGTAACAGTATGATATAATGGTTTTAAACAGGAGGAGATCATCAAGAAGAAGTACGGAGGAATAGTGCCAAAGAAGCCTCCTTTGATATCAAAAGTAATTAATGGTTATCTTTCAGTTACCCTTTTGGGATTTTACTTCCATTCAAGTCCTCTATGGTGACAACTGCAAATGTTCCTTTTGTCTAGGACCATGAACGTGCCTTTTTCGATTCTGCTGATTGGGCATTAGGGAAGGTACTCTTTAGATTTTTACTAAAACTGCTAATTGGATGCTAAATATAAAGATATGGATGAAATTTTGATCTTGATTAGATGACCCAAGTTTGATGCGATTGTCTTGCCTAATTACTCCTCCTTTGACTTCTGTAACAGCAAGGAGGTGCTCAAAAACCTAAAGGACCACTTGAAGCACTCAGGCCAAAGTTGCAGGTGCGTGATGTTTAATAAATAATAAAGAGTGGGGAATCTTTGTCTGTTCATTATACTTGCCGTGTTTTTTAAATATATAAATCGCCTTTTGATCTTGAGTAATAGTTTAGTAGCTGTTAATCATTCTCCCACTTGCTAAAAACAAACCAAATGTTTAATGTGAAGTTGATTGGTCTTCCCAAAAAACAACTGAAACTTTAGCAAGATAATGTACTCTCAGTAATTACCATAGCTGGATTATGTCTTCCAAACTAATCTTTCCTGGATGTGATCTGAAAGACCACTTGGGATCCATACAGGATATTACGTCTTTGCTTAAATTGGTGCGGTTTGCTTTCCTTTGAGACTTGTCTTTCCTCTCCCTGTTCTTCTTTTCATCGCAAAAAAGAGGGAAAAAGAAGAACGAAAAATAAAGCACCATTTCAAATGGAATGTGTTGTTCGTTGTGTTCGTATATTTAGTGGAGTGATTATGCTGTTTGTAGTCTTTGCTGATATTTTTATTACCATTGTTGTCATGATCAGCCAACCCCACATCAGCAAGTCCGCTCAAGGCGCTCGGCTTATGCTCCTGCTGATGCCGATGATGGTGAAGGTATGAGCCACATGTTCTCTCTTTTTTTTTTTTACAGCCAAGATTTCTAATTTACGACAGGAAATGATAAATACTTTGCTTTATTCTTCTGCTTCCCGCAGGGCATGAAGGTAATATCGAACCCGCAGCAGAAGAGGATCAGCAATCCACATTAGAAAGTGGCTGTAATGATCACGTTTCTGAGGAGAAAGTGTGCAAGGAATAGCTATCTGGACGAAAGAACTTGATCTATTCATACTGAGCAGCATCCTGAAGTCCTTTAATGATACCAATAAGTGAAACATGCTGAATTTTAAGCTTCACTTGTTATGATTGATCATGCTAGTGGGACGTTGTAATGCTTTCTATGCTTTAAGTTATGAATTCAATCCTTAGATTGCATTCGAGAATTATTTAGTCTTATAGCTAGCTTTTGCTGGCTCAATAGCATTCAATACCATATGTTATACACCAATATACCTTCTGTTATAATGCAGAATTTATACCTCCAGGTTTCCTATTTTGCATTTCTTGCACGTTCTAAAGCTTTTGAGTTAAGTAGTGATTATCACCGTCCGATTCTTTTACGATCAAAAGATAATTGGTTAAGGATAATTTTAGAACTGGCCGAGCCTTGAACGTTCAACGGTTAGTTGTACTAGTTTCTTGTCTGTCCAGTAAATTTGGAATAAGAATTGAGAAGATAACAAGTGGTTTATGCTTAGATTGATTCACGAATCGCGTGGTTACCTTTTTTTAATAACAACGACAAATATCTCTGCAATCACACACACAAAGCAACATGATCCTTTACGCTTCTACACCAAGCTCAATCATCTTCTCCAAACGCAATGCGCCTCAGCAAGCCACGCCAAGAAGGCCATCGCCCTTCAACTGTGCGCGCCAGAGCAGTCAAGATGCGCCAAATGGAGGCAATCCGAAGCCACTATCATCATTCCCACGCTTGTTCTGCCACAACCATTGTTCTTGCATATGCGGAAGGAGGCTTTTCATTGAAGCAGCAGCGACTTCTCTGTTCCCTCTAAGTTCTTCAATGGCGTCCTCTAATTCATCCTCTGATTACACAGTGCGTATTTTCTTTCTAAGCACACTGATGGGTTTTTCTCCTTATCCAGTTTCCTACTAAAACCCAGATGGTAAAGTTCGTTAGCTTTGTTGTGTATAGGCTATATTGAACAGGGTTCATCCTCCTAAGCCAGATTGGTACGAGGATTTCTACGCATCTGTTCTAGCTAATGGCATGAAATTGTACGAAGCGGAGGTTGGAGCTAACTTACGTTACAATTGATTAGAATTTGTGAGTCGCTAACATTGTTTTCTATGTTTTTTGCAATCTTTCATACTTAGATTGCAGATTACAAGTCCCAGATGTTTGCCACTTTAAGAGGGAAGGCCCAGAAAGTCCTAGAGATCGGAATTGGCGCGGGTCCTAACCTTAAATATTACGCTGGGGAAGAAGGTATGAAGGTTTATGGTGTGGATCCAAACCCCAAGATGGAGAAATATGCTCGCGAAGCAGCACAGAGTGCTGGTCTGCCAGCTGATAACTTCGAGTTTAAACAAGCGGTATGCACTTTATAGAACTCTGCTGTTCCTCACAGAACTTCATAGAATTATTGATAGAAGCAGTGCAGTATTTTCAGGTCCCTGTCTCTGTTATTGAATGTGAAAACCTTTCTGATTTAGGTTAATTATTTGACCCATGAACATCCCAGTTGGTACAAATGGGTTTCTTTTTTTCAACATCATTGGTTTGACAAGTCTGATGGATAGGGTAACTTCCATTGTATTATCAGTAAAGTTTTGTGCCTTTTTACCTACTTTGTTTGACGAGAAATGTTGTGTTTCTGAGGTATTAAAGCCATTGAATGCATCCTTAGAACTAGAAGTTGATATCATCAATTTGTAAGAGTTGGTTGTGCTTTCAAGGTTTATATTTGAAAAATTATGTTTACTCCTTATGGAAACTTAGATTTATTGATATCTATGATCTTTGGCTAGGTCGGGGAGGCTATACCATTACCCGATGCTTCGGTCGATGTTGTCGTTGGAACACTCGTCTTATGTTCTGTGTCGAATGTCGACATGACTCTAAAGGGTAATACCTTATTTTCATTATAGTTTGGTGGAGAATTTGACATCTTTTAGTTAGATGAATGATGTTTCCAAAACTCAGAAACTTCAAATAGGCAACTTCATAGAACGGAATCTGAGAACTGAGATTGACTTTGCTTCTGCCTTTTGGAAATCTGTCGATTGCTTGATTGATGATAGCGTAACAATGTATAGTTGCTTAAGAATTCAGGCAGGAGAAGAAAAACATATATTTAGCCACGAGAGCTTTTATTCAAAGTGGACAATATCATGCCATCGTGGAGGTCCGTGATTCCTAACATAGTATGAGAGTCATGTCCTTAACTTAGCTATGTCAATAGTATCCTCAAATGTCGAACAAAGAAGTTGCGAGTCTCGAAGGTGTAGACAAAAGTGACTCAAGTGTCGAACAAATGACGTACTTTGTTCGAGGGCTCCAGAGGAGGAGTCAAGCCTTGATCAGGGAAGGCTCTTCGAGAGCTCCATAGGCCTCAAGAGAGGCTATATAATGTACTTTACTCGAGAGGAGGATTGAGGATTATTGAAAGGAGTAGTTCCACGTTAGCTAATTTAGAGGAAAATCATGGGTTTATAAGTAAGAAACACTATCTCCATTCGTATGAGACCTTTTGGAAAAACCAAAAGCAAAGCCACGAGAGCTTATGCTCAAAGTAGACAATATCATATTATTGTAGAGGTCAGTGATTCCTAGTATTTTACTTAAGGACTATCTGATAGACTAAACAAGTTCTTGAATCTCAAACAAAAGTGCATTTCTTTGGGTGGTGTGCAGAGGTGAAGAGGGTTCTGAGACCCAGTGGACTATACATATTCGTCGAACACGTGGCTGCAGAAGGTATAATACCGAAATCTTACCTATAGAAAATCGCTTGTTTGGACATAAGATAACCAATGGGGCACTTTTGTTATTGTTGTTGTTGTTATTATGTCGATGTAGAAGGAACCGTGCTTCGGTTTGTACAAGACGTGCTCGATCCCGTGCAGCAGTTAGTTTCTGATGGATGTCACCTTACCCGGAGGACAGGGCAGAGTATAAGTGAAGCCGGGTTTTCAAATGTTGATCTAAACATGGCTTCCTTCTCTAATGCTGCCTTCATAAATCCTCAAGTTTATGGAGTTGCTCATAGATGACAAGAAATGTAACATCCTGTTCCCACATTTTCCCTCAGTATCCTGTCTTCATTGTCTTCTCCTTCTTCTATGCTTTGTTTCTTTGCTGCAGGCCCATGCTTGAAGCAGGAGAAACACTGATAAATCAACCATGAGCTTGAATATCCACATCTTGTGTATCTCTTCCACGGGTCGGGTCAGGTCAGAGTAGAGACGGAGAAGCCTTCTCCATTTCTGTTCCCGTTCTTGCCTCTTAATTCATTTTTTTCATGTTTGCAACAAGTTTCATTTATTTTTACGGGAATTGGGGTAGATTTGTAGATAGGGAATTTAACGGGTGAGTTACCGATATATCTTTCTATATATTTACTCTTTAAAAATTATTTATTTAAAAAAAAAAATTTAATGAGTAATTTTCATTTTCGGGTATAACTAAATAAAAATATAATATCATAACCTTATTTTCTACCAATATAAATGGGGTAATAGACAAATAAATATGTTAAGTTTTTTTTTATTTAGTTACAAACTCTAATTCTATTTTTGTATTTATTTATATCTAAACTAAAATTAAAAAATAAAAAAAGTATATGGAATTAATTATAGAATTTGATATTATTTTAGAATGCTATTTAACATGAATTTATACATAATTAATTATCCTATGGATTCTTATAATAATATAGATTGAATGAATAGTTTTGACAAAGTTGTTGAGTTTAATTATTAATACAATTATTGGTACCTATTTAATCTCCTAACTAATAAATACAACAATCATAGCCCAAAAAAGAAAAAATACATATTTTATTAAATTATAATAATGGTATTTTTTTTAATTTAAAAAATAGTTTAATTTCCATTTGTTTTGCAAATGATTGTTTTAATGCAAAACTTATGGTATATTACTTGTCCAAAATTATAAAAAAAGAATTGCGTGAGGACTTTACTGCAAAGTTTCAGATATTTAAGGGATATCCAATGCAATTTCGTACAACTTTAACATTGCGAAAAAGTTCCTAACTTCTTCCTGGCTGCACTTATACAAACAAAGCTTACAGTTCTCCTCTCTTCGTCTCCGACAAACTAGGGTTTTCTTTCCGTTCCGACAGCCGGTGATTGGTGTCGCTCAGACTTTCCCTTCAGAATCGATGCTTTTCTGTCTCTGAAAATGTAAGCTTTCTCGTGGCCTTTTTTGTTCCTCGAAGCTTTGCGTAATTTCGTCCTTTGTTCTTTGAAGAACTGTTTTGATTACTGCCCTAAACTTTAGGCTCAATTTTTTGTATGATTGTTTCTCTGTGTTCGTTTTTGCAAGTGTGGAAGCTTTTTTCCCCTTTTTTTTTTAAAGTTTTCTTTTTATCTTTTTCCCATGGTCCATGTTCTCTGTCTTCTTTTCTCCTTCCATCTTTCTTCTTGAATAGTTTTCGTTTTCTAGTGCTTTACTTTTACCTCTGCAATTATTTCGTGTCAAATTATTGTGGATTCTTGTTTATTTCGCCTTCAATTTTCGGAGTCTGGGTTTCCTATTTTGTAGATATCATTTATGGTTGTTGAAGATATATATATATGATTACAGAGAATTTGTCAGCTGGCTTGTTCACCTCTGATTTTGATTATTTGACGATTTTCTGGTTTCATTTAATTTTTGGGCTTCCTTGGGGGTGGGGGTGCTCGAGGTCGATAGTTCTGTCTACTATTTGCATGATTCTTTGCTTATAATGTATGTTGTTTACCTGTTTGCAGTTCATAACTCCATAATGTGCTCGTTAAATTGCATATGCGCTTTCTTACTGTTGGCTTGATATGGTTATGACTTATTATGGCAACATTTTTTTTTTTTTTTTCTGATGGCAGTTAAGCTGTGGTTGGCTCATGACTTTGTCGAGATTCTGGGACATAACAGAGTCTGTGCTTGTTAGCTGTTGGAGAGAGTAAGGGCATTTGTGAATTTTTTAGTAACATTCAGAGGTCGTTTGCTTATCGGAGTGTGGATTTTGGCTTCCAAATGTTTCTGTATTTCATGATGTAGCTTGTAATAAAGAAGTATACAACATAAAGTAATTTAAGTGGCATGATTTCTGGTTTGTGTTTTAAGAGTTGAGCACGAGCAGAGACGGTCTAAGGAAGCTGATAGCTAAATGGGGTCTCTCTGTTGTGTGGCTGCCAGACCACATGGATCGAATGCAGCTAGCAGGGACTGGTCTCTGGGTCCTCACGAGCCTTTCTGGCATACAAATACAAGCTTTTCACCGCCTCCATCAAGATGGGATATCCAATTTCAATCTGATGGGTTGCCACATGGTTGGCATGATGGTGTGCAACTGTATGGGTCATCTACATCATCTAATAGTAAAGAAAGTCGCAGCTGGATAAGGGGCAACAACCATCTTTATGCTCACACTTCTGCATCTGATGGTGCTGGGTTGTTTTTGAGTAGTCCATCTGACATCTCACAAGGCCCTCAATGGACACCTCCAGCAATTCAGGAAATCAATATTGATGGTCATGAAACTTCGACCAAAAGGGGTACTATTACTGTTATTACACCATGTTTTTCTGTAACCATATCATTTCTCTCATCATTGCGGGTGCATATGAAACTTCACGGGCAATTGAGTAATCTGCTGTTGAATTCAATGTCTTTCTTGGGCTATATTTTTCTGGGTTCTAAAAGAGTAGGATTGTTACTTTCTTATCATGGAAGAATCATTTCCTATGGTGTATGTGCGCTTGCTGCACGCACAAACATGTTTGGGGGGGGGGGGGGGGAATCATAG